ACGAATCTAGCCGTAGGATTGAAATTATTTTAATAGACCTAGAAAATATATATTTTTTTTGCGCATCGAATACGGTTGTTGCCTATCATTTATGTACAAAAGCAGTTATTGTCGCTTAGTCACGTTTGCCTTTCAAGCGTCATATTTTTTCAATCAAATACAGATTTACTTTAGTCTAAGCTCTAAATCGTCGACTCCGACGAAGACGGCGTGCGAACTAGCCTATTGACACAACTTATTCAGTTTCTCACCGGATCTTCTCGGTGTATCGCGATTCCGATCCGGTAGTAGATTCAACGAAGCACTGCTCTTGGTAGGGCTACTGTTAGCAATTCTCTCAGGTTAAGCCCGTGAGCTCGCCTACCGGTTCGCGTGTAGTTGAAATAATCCCTTAGGCTAATTTCTTACCCAACCGACTTTCATTTCATAAACAACAATGGATCTTCTCAATTTTATTAATATATAAGTATTAGTATCGTTTTTATTTCATAAAAAATATATAAATATGTAGTATTTTGGAAAATATTATTATAGACAATGACGTTGAACTTTCTGGCAAATTTATCAAGAGAAAACTCGAGCTTGGTCGGTGTTGAAGTTACTCAGAACGTACCCAGGCAAGCTAATCTTTTAAAATATGTCGTTAGCGCTATTTAGGACTTTTTCGGCTTTCTTCTATTCTATGATAGAGAGCGTTACGGTTTCCTAATCTGACTTTCTATCTTAAATAATAGAAATGATCAAGCGCATACAATATCTTAATGCGGTCCTGATTCAACGTGTCATATACTCGTAACATTAATGGCATTGCTATCGCAGTCGTTAGTCAATCAGAAGACAATTTGTCATTTACTGTGTCTAGTGACGGCTTCCGCTGAAAGACGTTCAACTCAATGTCATGTGACGAAATTTCAAAAAGGATTGACATTTCCAAAACAAATTATCTGTAAATCTGCGCAGTTTAGTGCAATTTGCAATGTAAAGTTCGGCCGTTTAAATTGTTCTCCAAAAATAAATAATAGTTTAAAAAAACTAACAAAATACACTTTTATAGAAAATCCAACTAAAAAATAGAAAATAAATTTTAATAAATTTGAATTAACAATAGTGTAAGAAAAAATGATTTTATTGTAAAAAAAAAGCGTGGGGTGCATGGTATCAGTAGTTATAAATATTTTATTAACAGATGAGTAGAAGGGTTAATTTGATAATATCCAGAAAAGCATCCCACGTTTTTTTACAATAACATCATTTTTTCTTACACTATTTTTTTTTATTTGTAAGTTTTTTAAACTACTATTCATTATTCATTTTTTAGTAGAATTTCAAGTTTTTAAATTTTTTTTTAAATATTAAATTGTCATCGATCCTTAATAATTATACCAAATTTCGAGTTAATCCGTCGTTTTGAAGGGGTCAAAATCATCTTCAAAGACTCCGTTACAAACATACATACGTCTGAAGCTAATAAAAGCGTATTGAAAATGTATCATACCAAACCATATTTGCGTCATTACTAGATGAAGCTGACATTTTTATAAATGAAAAAACGTAGGTCGTTCAAGAGTTTACCGCTGATAGGTAGGGTATAAAAACTTGCACTAGTATGAATAACGCAAGGTATTGCGTTTCTATGAAAATACATTTTATTCTGCGAAAGCAGATAATGAGCACTTTTCGAAAAAAAGTAAAAAGTTATAACTCGAACATTTAGCCACCATGCCGGTCTTTCTACTATTTTTTTTTTATTGCTCATATGGGTGGACGAGCTCACAGCCCACCTGGTGTTAAGTGGTAACTGGAGCCCATAGACATTTACAACGTAAATGCGCTACCCACCTTGAGATATAAGTTCTAAGGTCTCGGCGATAGGCGGGGTGGTGGTACCTACCCGTGCGGACTCACATGAGGTCCTACCACCAGTAAGCCTACCTAGACATATTCTGTGTATTAAAAACGATCAGTTTAGATGAAATTCATTTGGTTATAAAAATAGTGAACGCGATGAAAGAAATTGATTAAAATTAATTCAATTAATAATAGCTATGTAAACTTTTCGATAGACAAGTCATCATAGGCATGTTTGTTAATAGATTATATTTGATAAAAGGTATGTCTCATCAAATTAGCTGATGGGTGAAGGTCGATTTCCCACGCTCTCCTTTACTATTAGTACATACAGCGAGGTACGTAGGTAAATATGTGCGTTTAATCTTGCTTATCTCGGCTGTCATGTGTTCAAGTGCGTAACATTGTCACATTTCCGAATAATCTCACAGAAAAGTAGAAAGGAGGGAAGGAAGCCTGGAGCCACTGCGGTCATCCACAGTGCGTTTCCAGAGATCTTTTTTGCCACGTACCATCCGGATATGGAATGAGCTCCCCTCCACGGTGTTTCCCGAGCGCTATGACATGTCCTTCTTCAAACGAGGCTTGTGTAGAGTATTAAGCGGTAGGCAGCGGCTTGGCTCTGCTCTCTCTTGCTGAAGTCCATGGGCGACGGTAACCACTCATCATCAGGTGGGCCGTATGCTCGTCTGCCTACAAGGGCAATAAAAAAAAAAAGAAAAGAGTCGTTTTTTTTTTTATGGCTTAGTTGGGTAGCAGTCCACCTGGTCTTAAGTGGTTACTGGAACCCATAGATATCTACAACGTAAATGCGCCACTCACCTTGAGATATAAGTTCTAAGGTCTCAGTATAGTTACAACGGCTGCCCCACCCTTCAAACCGAAACGCATTACTGCTTCACGGCAGAAATAGGCAGGGCGGTGGTACCTACCCGTACGGAATCACAAGAGGTCCTACCACCAGTAATTTCGCAAATTATAATTTTGCGGGTTTGACTTTTATTACACGATGTTATTCCTTCACCGTGGAAGTCAATCGTGAACATTTGTTAAGTACGTATTTAATCAGAAAAATGGTACCCGCCTGCGAGATTCGAACACCGGTGCATCGCTACATACGAATGCACCGGACACCGTATCCTTTGGGCCACGACGACTTCTAAAATCGACTTCTAAAATTATCGATAGAATCAGAAATAAAACACTAAGTAATGTTTATTAATCAAGTCTACGACTTCTAATTATCTAGATTGGTTTACATTTTCATTGTTTTCGAACAACGCATTCGAATTACCCATTGTATCTCAACAATAAATCTCAATTCACGAGTGTTTTTGATCACGAGGTGCGTCGACATTGCAAAAGGAAATGACTATATTACGATTCGAATTGACCTAGATTATACAGGCGTTTGAAAATGGCTTTTTCAAAAGTCGTGCTTAATTTTCAAACAATAGTTGCTCATGGAAAGGAATAACTAAGAGATTTTCGGATTGGATCCTTAAGAGGAATATTAGTAGATTCCAGGTACATTGCTATCCGATCTGGAGGCTCTTATTGTTATACGGGACCAATTGCTCCAAAATCAACCTCCATGCTAGAGTCGTGATTTTGGCTGACAGCTGATCCCACGGCAGATCTATGGGCCATTTAAGTAGGTCGCTAGGTTCTCACGGACTTGTTGAATTGCGACCGGAAACGCTTATCCGTCCTACTTACCCCGGTGCACACCAGGTAAATCTATTTCGATAAACGCCTAGATCGTATGACCGCAAGAAAGGCTATGATGAAGTGCCACCACTATGCATTACAACTTCGTAAACAGAGGCTGTTGGTATATGTGGGCTAGTTTTCCCATATCTCATATGGGACACCGATGTCCTCATCGCTCGAATAGAATATCATATAAGATAATCGTGGCTTTGTTGTGACGTTTTGTGGAAAATGATGTCCGATTTCTGCGATGGTGGACATGCAGAATCGAGCAGATTTCTACATCTAACAGAATACATTGTACCGCTACGCAATCAGCACTGCATGTGAGGGGTGGTGCCATGTTCTCCTCGTACAAGTACAGACTTGTCGATATTGAGAGTCGTAGTCGGCGCGTGACTTCCGCAAGTGCACCAGCTTGCAGTAGGAAACGTCAGAGCGTGAGGGACTGGGCTTCTTTCTATCCGCATTAACCTCCATCGAGACAGAACAGATAATATAGGTTATTATCTGTTCTGTATCCCCTAATTATTTTAGGATAAGTATCCTAATTTGGGAACAGGCGAGTAAGAGTCTACACGTAAAAAATCAGTATAACAGTAAGCAGGTGGGTGGTGGCAGATCCAGATCAGCGATGTATGTTGATTCTTCGTCAACGCAATATAACCATACTGTCGACAGCGATCGTCGATCTAGAGACCTACGAAACGAGGTAGCGAAAGCCTCCGAAGATGCCTAGATAAGGCCACGCTTACCAGACCCCTCACACCCGCTCCAAGTTATGAGTTGACAGGGAAGATCCTATATTTGGTCCTATAGTGAACATTGATTAATGATAAAATTACATTTTATCAGGACACTCTTTTATCAATTGCTATTGTCAAATTATTGTCAATAAATTGCTTGGAAAAAAATACGAAATTAGATCGCAAGTTATTTTGTAATTTGCTATATGCCTAAAAATATGTACGAATCATTTGCCAAATTTGAAGCAATCAATGCTTGTTTTATTCTGGGCGAAAATTTGTTAAAACTGCCATCTGTCGTCATTCATAGTGAAACATTAGTACCGTTATCAGTTTATCGATTTTGATTTTTTATTAAAGGTATACCAGGAGACCGTTATACCTTACATGTATAAAGAAATTCCGATTATAACAAAATATGTCGACGCTTGAAAGGCAATCGTGACTAAGCGACAATAACTGCTTTACACATAAATGATAGGCAATAACGATATTCGATGCGAAAAAAAATATATTTCTAGGCCTATTAAATAATTTCAATCCTAAAGCTAGATTCGTTAAAATATAACATTTTTCAGGTATTTCAACTTTAAATTAGCCTACTGTAAAGTTCACGCATTGTCGCTTAGTTACGTTTGCCTTTCAAGCGTCGATGTAATCAACAGTAAACAAATCTTATATGTCTACACTTACCGTGGAATGCCTCCAAAAGTGTATGAGAGCGTGGATATCGGTGGCCGGAGCGAGTAACAGGTAATCTCGCCATTCATCGTAGCTGATGTTGAGGCTGCCATCCTGGTCCATCCTGGGGACAAACTTGCGCACTGAGAGACAGGGGAACAAATACTATTATTTCCATTCAAAGTTGCAAACTATGACGGATAGATGGCGTTACTTAGAGAATAAACAATGATTAAATTCAACAATAGATATGTAATTTGTCAAAAAAACGAATAGGTTTACTTCTGTTATAAAATATGTTCTTCGTCAAAATTTATGTAAAGAGAGTTTTAAAAAGGAAACATACAATATTGGCTTTATGACTTTATTGCAATGTCCATGAGTAATAATATTCAATTACAACGAATCTGTTTACGAGGGTAATGAAAAACAAGCGTTCCGATATTTATATTTTAATTATACATATTTCTTTTCTTTAATAATTATTATTTATTTACTACGACTTTGTTTTGATTAATTAATGCTTTTTAATTAATAAGATGTGTCTCACAATTAATTAACCGCCATAATTATCTCATTTACGATAATTATGAACACATAATTATTCGCAGAAATAATTATCTGTTGTATGCTTACTGTATGCATAATATATACAGGAAACATGAAACAGCTTTCGGGAGGTGTTAATGCAATGTCCATCAGTCTTACTGTGTCACAAATATAAACGTGGAAAAAAATTATCTGAATAATTATAAAAGTTTTCAAAGAAACGTTCATGAATAGCAATGCATTTTACTCACAGATGCTATACAATGTAGGGTTTCAAGGTGAAAAACATCAATAAAATGCCCGCAAGTGCGTAAGGCCAGCGTGATCGAGTCAGCTGTGCGACAGTGAAGTTGAGCCAATTATTTAAAATAGTATTCGCTAAATGAACGAAATGCAACCATATTCACTGACACTTTAAGGTTATAATTAATTTTATGTGTTATAATTTCTCTTTTGTATCCTTAGCCATATTTTCGAAAAAAAAAAAAACGAATGACTACAGTTAAGTTACGGCGAACGAGATAATTATAAAAAAAAGAATTTATTTAATTAAAACGATGTTTATTCGTTTGAATGTACTACAAGACTAATTTATAATTACAATATATTTATTAAAGTAAACTTATTGCTAAATCTGCAATGGTGCAGTTTCTGTTATGACGCACGGGGTCATCCGATGTGGATTCAGCAAATACGGGCATCGGGCGATTGCCTAACTCCTCCCTCCTTAAGATAGAAGCGCGTCCCGCAGCTTCCAGCAGCGTCCTCGGTGCTAGTGTTCTCGGGGCTCTCGTTCTTTGATTGTAGTCGTCGCTGTCTCCACTGCCACAGCTTCCAGATGATTATTGCTATCAGAATGAGGTAGAGTCCCAGTGTTGACCAACTTGGGGTAGTCATCATAGTCTGCCAGTCGATGATAGGTTGTTGAATGTTTTCGACCCGGTCCATCAGTTCGTGGATGCTATCCAGAGATATATCTTTCAGTTGTAGGTTATAGCGAATATTCCCTTCTAGAATAGTGGTTTCGCTGGGAATGGGTACGATTTCATCAGCTGTAATAGTGTCCGTGTTTGTCTTCAGTGTTCGGTTGAATATTTCCACTTGACAATCGCTTGTAATGCTGGCGATGTATATTCCTGACATCTTTTTATAGTCAGATTTCCTTCCGCAGCGAGATTTCAGGATTTGTTCGTCTTTCAAGATGATAAGCCATTTGTTGTCTTCTAGTCTCTGGACCTTGCCTTGTTTCAGATTCATCCTGGCACGGGTGCAGTTTGTGCTCTCGTGTTTTATAAGAGTTACTATGCAGTCTTCAGAGTTCTCCACAGGTTGGGTGTTCAGCGATGTGCAAAGTTGGACGTCTTGTGTGATCTTCTTGCAATCTTCCTCCAGGTATGAGTACTCGTTGGTTCCCAGTGCTAGGTATTTGGATTTAGGAATAATGGTGAGGTTTTGTTTATCTGGTATGGAGTATAGATGGATAAGGTCATAAAGGTTTTCATCTATGGAAGGGATATCTAGTATGAATGTTAGTGCGTCGTTTGTGCTATACGCTTTTACGCTAATAGAGCTCTCTATACTATGAATATTTTTAATACTTATTCTATCAACGGGTCTAAATTGGTAAAGTTTTTGAATAGCTGTTATTTCACTTATAAGACTGTGTGGAGCTATAATGCTAGGATGCATTACTTCTAGTTGTGCAAAGGTCATGGCGTCTTCTAATATAACTAATTTATCTAAGAGTAATTGCAAACTAAAATATATTTGGATATATAAATCTAAAAAGTGCAATCTGCTTATTACTACGTTATTACTTAAAGTGGCGTTTTTTAACATTGAACCTATCTTTTTCTGATTTTCGTCTAATAACTTGATCTGTTTACTAAATTCTTCAACTGCGTGCTTTGCTATGAATAAAGTTTGTTTTTGAGATGTGTTAATATTATGGACTGAATTACGTAGATTAGATAATTCATTTTCAAACTTAATAGCGTCTTCATAATCCAGATTACCTGTAATAGTTTTAACTACTGAACCTAAACCGTTAATTAAGCCACGTCTAAATCTATGGTGCGGTGCAATAAATGCTAACTTCTTCCCTATTAAATGTAAACTATTTTCTATTTGATCCTTATATGCTCTATGCAACTCTTCGTTACCTTCAGCAGCTTTAGTACTGGCATATAAAGACATAAGCTTTAAGGTTGTTTCATGTAAATACGATACGTTATATACGCAGGCCAGACTAAAAGTGTCTATCTGCTTCAAAATTTGTCCTTGTTTTAACAAAAGGATGCCATTAGTATTGTCTATAGGATTAAGGGTCAAGTCGGCGGCTGTGTAGAGCACGAAGGCTCCTGCGATGAGGGTCCTGGAACAAGATGTGGTCTACGTAAGAGTTTGAAATGAACTCGAATCGATTTAGAATTTGGGTGGTGCCCTATAATTTCTGCGACATTATTAGGGTGTAAATGAATGATTTTATACGGACCTTTAAATACTGGTTTTGTCTTGTCGCTCCTGGTGGTTTTGGCGACCTGTTTGTAAACGGTTTCACCTACCTTAAACGTGATTGTTTCCGCTGCCTGGTTTCTCTTTTCTATTACCTGCTCTTTGTTCTTAGACACGTGGGCTGCTATACATTCCTGTACTGCTTCTGCATTCTTGCGGTGATTGAGGACATAATCTTGATAAAATTCTTTAGGATAATATAGCTCTAATGGATTTCGGGATGCCGTATGACCGAATAAAAGCTCACGTGGTGTATAGCCTGTAGTAGAATGAATAGCGTTGTTATAGGCGATGATAGCGTATTTCATGATCAATTGTATGGGGTCGTCTTTATTTGTCATTCTTTGAATTCTTATTATTTCTGCGATGGTTGAATGAAATCGTTCAATGGGTGAGTTAGAGTTTGGGTTGTAAGGCGTCGTGAAGTGAATGTGGATATCATGCGAAGCACATATCTCTTTTATGACGTCATTATCGAACTTTGTATCTGAGTCTGTGGTGATTTTAAGAGGTAGTCCTAGTACAGAAAATACTTGTAATAGAGCTTCTGCGATGTGAACACTACTAGAAGCATTCAGAGGCACCGCCTGGGCAAATTTAGAGAAATTGTCGATAATTGTTAAAAACGTTGCACCTCCAGTACTATAGAGATCCATGAACAAGTGTTGAAATGGCTTCGTAGGTGTCTCTGTTATAATCAATGGAGGTTTTAAGGGATTTCTTTCATATTTGGCCTTTAGGCAAAGGTCGCATTGATTAATGAACCTTTGAACTGTCAATAACATATTAGGCCAGTGATAATTCCTATGCAGATGCTTAAAGGTCTCTTGGATACCGCGATGCGATGATTTACCTTCGTGATATCGCTTAATGAGTTCTTGTTGTTCAGTTTTATTTTCAACAAGTGTGACCCGCGAAGTACATCTTATTAATTTAGGTCCTCTGTCATTAAAGATCGTAGTATACACTCTTGAAAAGGCTAAGTATAGATTTTCGTCGTAAAAATAGCAATGAAAAACACGGTCAGCTATTGTGTGTTCCTTTAAAAATTTGATAATTTCTGATTCAGTGTTATTTACTGGGATGAAAACATCCTTAATAACTGTCCTAGAGTTTGTTGATCTGTCCTCTACTCTGTATGTAGAACCTGGTGTGGACCTAACGTAAAATTGTTTCAACTGTCTATCAATAGCGTCGGATATTATAGGGATACCGTTATTTTCATTATCAGGTTGGGTATGATTTGTAGAAACTAATTGATCGGGGTCGACTGTTGTTGCACTCCTTGTGTCTGTCTCTTCGTCAATTTGAGAGGGATAGATACTGGTCATTTCTACGTCATTGTTGTTATAAGGTTGGTCGTCATTGTCAGTATTGTTACGTTCATTGTCTTGGTTATTCGGGTCATTAGTTTCTATCTCTGCCTGTCTACGGGCGTTTTCGAATATTCTATTTATTATGTTGTCGTCACTATTGTCATCAACATTAACAGCTAGAGAATCTATACTATTATGAAAAATTTTTGCTCGGGATAGTGCATCTGCGTTAGTGTTTTGTTTGCCCTTTTTATAAACAACTTTGTAATCATACTCTGCTAACTTTAGTTTCCATCGTGTTAATTTAGAGTTAGGGTCCTTTAGACTCATTAACCATGTAAGGGGTCTATGGTCCGTATAAATTGTAAATTTACGGCCATATAAGTAAGGTCTAAAATACTTAATTGCCCATACTATCCCTAACAGTTCTTTCTCTATGGTAGAGTAACGGATCTCAGTATCTGATAATGTCCTTGAGGCATAGGCTACTGGTTTATCTGAGCCCACATTGCCTTGGGAAAGTACTGCTCCTAAAGCAAAGTCAGATGCGTCTGTCGTTAAAATAAACGGTTTGTCGAAGTCAGGGTATTGCAGGATTGGGGCGTTTGTTAGAATTTGTTTGCATTTATCAACTGCGTCTAAAAATTCGTTTGTATGTTCAACCTTTGCGTTCTTTTTTAGACATGCTGTTAAAGGTTTCGTCAACTTCGCAAAGTCCTTTATAAACTTCCTATAGTACCCGACT